TATATATATATATTATAAATTTAAAATAATACCTCGTGCTCCATTTCTCCAAGCTTCAGTTCGAATCTTTCCCTTACATCTAAAAGCTTATTTGTTTCAGCCTCCACTAAAAGTAGCGTTATATTATAATTAGCAAGAATGAATAAATGCTATAATGCATGTTCAGACAAGTTATGTTATGAAATAACAAATATGCAGCATGCAAGTGTTGCATGTCAAAATACGATATAAGTACTTTAGATGAACTTATGATAACATGATATTTATAAATCTCTAAAATTACAATATTAAATTGTTGTTTTAAGAACTGGAATGAAGCAACTAGCAAGAATGAAACAAATGCCTTTACCAGAATAATGCACACTATAGTAGCTGATATATAGCATAACTTATATTATTTGTTAAAACTTTCTATTTCATATTAAGCAACAAAAAAAGTATTCATAATGCGACACATACATAATTATAAAGATCAAGCACATAGAGAATATTGAAGGATATACTGCAAGCTTTTATAATCATGTAAAAAAAAAAAAATTGCATGCATATAAAAAGCATGTAATATTCAATTAATTGTTTGAATAAACCTACTGTAACATTACTTTATTTTTTTGTTTTATTTTAACTAAAAATAGTCCCGCAGTGGTCTGATCGTTAAGACACGGTTCCCAGCAAATCTCCAAAGTCAAGCATCACTGGCTGAGGTCAGAGTGCGGGTGGGTGACCACTTGGATCTATCTGCATAGGGACCGAGGGTGTGCGGTATGGGTCCTCGCTAAACTGTTCTACTGTAAAGTGCTTGACTTCGCGTGCAAGTCGCTGGGCTACCGAAGCGGGGGTGCCATCCCCGCTGCAGGGGATCAAAATGGCAATGGCGTGTCTTCGGATAATCCTCAGGGATGTTTCCCAGACCATCGCCAACAACCCATTGTGCAGCTCTAGTGCGACGTAAATGAACGACAACTATAACAACAACTTAACTAAAAATAAATTTATTACGAACTTCACATTTTTTTTTAACAGCAGGTACTGAACTTCTCGTTATCTGCCTCAGATGCCGGAAGTGTTGCGCACTTAACGCTACCTGGTGGGCACCTGTGAACCTAATTCACGATGGAGAGCAACATTACCCACGCCACAGACACCTGTTCACACGTCACACAACAGAGTAGAACTCATAGTGTAAAACATCCATGCCCTCAGCGGGATTCGAACCAACAACCATTTGCTTCGCAGTCAGGCGCTCTGGCCGCTTACTGGCCGAGAATTTAAAAAAAATAATAAACTTCAACAAAAATAAAAATTTGCCATAAATTATAAAGAAGTTGTGCAGATTCTTCGCAAACGATAACCATTGCGATAAAATTACAAAACATAAGAAAAGCCAACAATTATGTGAAAAGAAACATTGTTATAAGTGCAAGTTAAAGAAATGAAACATTTTAACTATTTAATTAAATTATTTAAAGAGCAAACATTTTATAACAAAACAAATCTATAACTTACAAGCACAGTTCAAATAATCAATTCTATCAGATTGCTCTAATTGCATTTTATTAAACATCTCCTTTAGATTCTATAAAAGAAATGCATTATATTAATCTTCTTTTTGTTTGAAGTAAAGGGAAAGGATTTTAAGGTTCTGCATTATTTTTTTTCTCCAAGAAAAAAACAAAGTAGCTGAAAACTTAAAAATGTGAAAACGACATTCAAAAACGTAATTTAAGCAAAGAGGATGAACAATTTTAAAAAGATATTAGACGCGATTTTAATTATTGAAATATGTTAGTTTTAAAATTATTCATTCCAGAATATAATTTAAATTTTGCTGTTACATTAATGTAAGACATTGTGCTGAATACTTTTAATTGATAAAACATTGACGTTAGTAAGAAGGTAAAGGAAGTTCAAGCGTTTCACACAATAAATCAGCGTTTCATACACGAAGAAAAAAAAGACAGAATAATGCAAACGTAAAATCCTTACTTTTTATTAGGAAGTGAAGTGTTGACCTGACATATGAATAAAATAAAATTAAATATGTAAATGAGATAAGAAAAATACTATGGGACTGGACAAGTATTAGAACCATAAAAACACCCGTTTTCCTTTTATTTTTTAAACTTAGTTAAGTTGTAAAATTCTAGTCAATTATAATATTATTTGAATATATTGTTGATATAATTGTATTGTTACCAAAATTGATTATACAATTTGAAAATATTTTTTAATTAATCTAAGTAGCGTAGTAAGTATAAGTTTCGTTCTATTTAGTGAAATATTTTAATTTTAAAAATGGAAACCTTTCTTGATGAAAAGATGTGTAACTGGTGCAAGTTTTTCTTAATATATATAATTGATGCAATTTATCTAAATCAGAATATTGCACATTGATTCTCAATTCTAATAATAAAAGAAACAATAAATTTCACTTTACTTCAACGTCTGCACATCTTTTGTTATCAGCTGCTTTAATCATATCTTCAATCCTATTACCTTTTATATATAAATAAAAAACATAGCAATTAACCAAAAGTCAGATATTTAGCAATTCCATAACTGAATGAGATTTTGAACTTACGATATTCAAAATGACCTTGCAGTGTATTAAAATGTTTTTTTAAAGCTGAATACATTTCTTTCGTTGCATGCAATCTATATTGTAAACATGAAGGGGGGGAAAATTGTTACAATTTATCAGAAATTTTATTTGTATAAAAGGCGAAATAGCTACTCTTATAAATAAAGTCAATACTTTTCAGAAACGAAGCTTCTCTGCTGCATTTCCTCGACTAGCTGCAAATTTAGATTTTCATTTTCCAACTGATAGTTAACAGCAATCTTCCGTTGCTCTTCAGTAGATTGTGAGAGCTCTTCTATCTTCTTATTCTGAAAGAATATGATACTAAGGAATATTGTTTCCATCGGAAATACTTAGAATAAATAAAAGTGAATTATTTTAGAATTCAATTACCTTTTCTTTGTTTTCCATCTCAATTAAAAGTTTCCATTTTTCAATCTCTTGTAACTCAGCATGCAATTTAGAATATGCTGAGTCAATTTTCGAAAACTTTTTCTTTTTGTCCTCATTCAGACTTTTAATAAGGTCACTCTGTTTACCATAAATTCCTACAAGTACAATTTGGCTATGACAAATAAATTGGAATTACTTAGAATACTAGTTTTTGACAATTTTTTCGAATGAAATACCCCTTGTAATTTTATTTTAGTTTTCAAAAGAAACGAAGAAATCGTACCTATTAACTCATTTAATTGTAACAATTAAATAATATTCTAAACATAATTAGTATTGGATGGAAAGTGTAAGAAATTATAAACTAAACAGCATCAGCGGAATTATGTTAAACAGTAATACTTGATGAAAATAATAAAAAAGTATGTCTAAAAATTTTATAATATTACGCAAATTTTATATTTTTAGTTTAAGGCAAAGTGTCTGTAGTTTCTACTTCATTTTCAATAAGAATTTGGTCCTTTGCTTGTTCTCACATTTATATTCATAACCTTTGTTACTTATAGTTTGTCTACTATAAGAACTCCCCCTGCCACTAAGTCTGAGGCCGTCTGTTGCTATGGAAAAAAGAATAGCGCATTTAAGGTAGGGTAGCTTCTCTTCTCTCTAGGGCTGACACAGTAGACCGAAGAAAAAGATTCCTTTTCTCTCGCCGAACTAAACAATGACCCCAAACCCCTACTTAAAATAGTTATACCTCGTCACTATAGTCAACGCCATGATTCCAGACGAACGGCCAGGGGAGTTATTACTTAAGACAAACTATATATTCCTTTAATATCTTGGTATATTTATAATGGGATTAATTTCAGTATCATGAAAATGATCTTGAATATAAGCAATTAAAGTACTATTTAAAATAAAGAAATAAACATTAATGTCATTCACTCTTTTGTAACTTATTACAAGATTATTACAAAACGAGAATAAATAAATAGAGAATCTTTGAACGAGAAAAAATACTTACGCAGAGATGCCAACTGATCCGCTTTATACAAATTATTTTAAAAAGTTGCAGAGAAAATTCAAAACAAAAACTTTTAATATTCTATTTTGAAACTCTTAAAATGATTAAAAATCATGATTTACTTATTTATCTGTAATGAACAAGATCACTTTCAATCAGATGAACTAAACAAGATATCAAATATTAAGACATGAATTCAAAAAAACATATATATTTCCTCAAAGCGAATCGATGCATTACTTTACGTTCAACAATACAGAACAGAATTGACCTGACTGAATTTTTTTAAATGTGTGTTTTGAAAACTTAGATAAACCTATAAAAATGTATGCATTTAACACAAATTTTATTTTATATTATAACCGTTGAACAGCCTACCCAATTTTTTGGTTTACGACTACTAATGTTCAACTCCGTAGCCTTGTACTTTTGAACCCAATCCAGAAGACAAGAGAACTCCTTGTTCAAGTATTGGGAGAAGATTGCCTTCGTGGAGGACTTTTTGATGGAACTAACTCGCATTTGCGTTACATGGAGAGGAAGATCACGAGAACCTTCCACGGTTAGCCTGACGACAAAGGGACTCTAACCCATGATCCGTCTACAACTGAGGATATTTCACATCAGCACTGTGGTCGGTGCAAGCCGGATGCGGATTCTTTGGACAAAGTTTGAAATGCGTGTTAACGAGAATAGACACTGCATGAAATGCGTGCTTACAAGAATGGACGCAGCGCAAAATGCGTAGTTACCAAAATGGACACAGCAAAAAAATGCGTGTTTACGAGGAAATCAATACGTAAATCAATGTCGGAAAATTCTTTCTCTATGAGACAATTCACGAACAAAACAATGCATGGAAACACGGTTTTGAAGCGTTTGATATTGCAATTGTTTAAAAATTCAACACTTCAAAACAAAAGTTTATGCGTTTGAATTATTAAAATTAAGTATGCCTTATCTATGATAATTCAAAATAGAACTGAAAATGACTACCGCAAAAATATTCAATTATAAAATCTGTTCATAGAAATTTTGTTGGTATTGAAACATGTAAATTATGATAAAATATAATTAGTTCTTTGTGGTTGAATTAAATTAATGGAGATAGTTATCATAACGTTCGAAATTCATATCTGATAGATGAACATAATTTGCGGATAGTTATGAAAAAATATGATAGTTATCTCTTAAGAAGGAAAAAAGTTATATCACTTTCAATATAAAAATATTGCAAAATTGAAATAATTGAAATATAAAAATATTGCAATAATTATTGCAAAAATTAAAGGCAATTTATTGTAAAATATTATTTTGAATTTTATGTACTATTGACTTAAGGGAACCGTGCTGTTCAATATGATATGAAAAATTTGTACAGTTAGTACAGACGTAAAAAATAGCATTGGTGGCTGAGAGTAAACAGTAAAGGATTAATGAACACTTTGATGTAGTCCTTAAAGGATTTCTTTAAATTCATTCGTGTTATTTATGAAAGTAATAGAAAAATAGTTGGACCTAATTGAAAATTACATTCATCATAAATTGATCGATTACTTCCGTTCAAATAATTAGTACATGAATCAGCACAACTTATTATGTCAAGAACTAATTTCAATAAGATCAAAAGCATACCAATACTTTCTTTGCTTTTTTTGAAAGGGTAAACCTAAATAAAAATGTAAAAATATATTTTAGAACTTGAAAAAGCATTAGAAAAAAAATATTCTACAGTAATTTTTTTTTTACATAAACGAAGTTACTTAAAAAAAGTCGCAAATATCTTTGTTTTACATAATTAGCCTTTAAAAAGATATTAAACACAAATTTAAATACAAAGATTGCTTGCACAAATGTGTTCAAACAAATATGATGACACTACTAACTTTAATTATGATTAATCGTATTTTTTTAAAATTCAGACTAGATAAAAAGTAATAAATTTTTTTCCTCGCAGCTTCTGTTAATTTTTAAAAAATCAATGTTATGATCACCTCTGTTGTACATGGGTAAATTTTTACAAATAATGCATACAGCATTAAAAATATTGTTACTTGTAAAATTATAAGATGAAATATGTCATTTATACAAATAATAGATAAGATATATTTATCAATAAAATTATTTGCATGTTTTCACAGAAATCTGCAACAAAAATAAATAAATAAAAATTGAAAATAGTTGTAGATGTGTTTGATTTAGACTAACGTGAAAGTAAGAATATCGAACATAGCCATTCTAGCAAAAAGAAAAAAAGGTTCTATTTTAGATGCCCTTCCATGAGTAAATGGCTAAAAGTTGCACAACCTCGCACATCGATTTTTTACGAAAATCAATCGGTTCTTTGCGGAAATCTTTTTACGTTGATTTGAATAAAACCAAACGCGAGTCAACAGGGCTAATAGTTCAGAAGCTAGAAGAGTTTTTACTTGTGTAATGCATTTTTTAATTTTTGAAGACTTTTCTTCAAAACTCCATTAGAGCTATTGACTCGGATTCGGTTACAATTTACGTGAATCAAAATATCTCCGCACAGATTTATAAAGTGAATTTTCCACAGGATAATTGCATGCAAAAATTAATATTTAACTATTATTCATTGCATTTTAACTATTATTCATTCGTTTTATATTTATTTTGTTTTATATTTAATCGGAAACACTTTGAATAGTAAGGAATTCAAATTCCTACATTCTTTTAATTTATGTCATAAATAATCAGAAATTTTAATAAAATCACTTTTGTAGTTTTTAAAAAATAAAATTCAATTCATTATTCCAAAAACACTTTGACAGATTTATTGAATTTCAGATTTTATCTTTTAAAATTTCACAGTTTGAAAAACCTATACTTTACAATGTTTTTTCAATGTTAAGTAATTTAAATTTAAAAAAAATATAGTTTTTAAATTATTTTGTTTTCCTAGTTGAAGTGCGCTTGGATAAAATGATTTTTATAACTGAGAACATTCAAGTTTTCAAACTTTCAACCTCTCTCCTGACTAAACTATTAATACTGTCCAGTCCAGACATTCTAAATAGTTTATTAAAACTATTTTTACTATAGGAAAAACTAAGTTTATTAAAAAAAAAGCTTCTTTGTTTTCTTTTCTTTTTTTTGTCTGGTTTTATAACATAATTCTTAATACACAGATAGCACCAACTAAATAGATTAAATGTTAGTGCATAAAAATCTAGTCATCAGATTAACTTTTTCAGTGCAATATTTCATTCTTTTTATTTCTTTATTTATTTTGACTCACATACACATAACTTTTCTGATCAACAAAATAAAATAAAAAATATATTGAAATTTCGACATACCAAAGAGCCATTATCTTTTTGTAACACTCCAAAGTCATTTTTTTCACGCAGCGGTTTCACTATAGTTGTTTTAGCAAAGGGTGAAAACATGTCTCTAAAACTAAAAATGTTTTTTCATTAAAAAACTTCAGACAATATAACTTTCCTGAGAATTTAAAATAGAGGACTGTTTACAAGGGGGAAAAAAACTTTAAAATAGAGCAATAAAATCAATCTGACTGCATTTTTTTAAATAATGTATACAAAATTCCTGAATTAAGTCATTTAACAAAATGTGTAAAAATATTTTAATATGAAATGAAAATAACAATTATATCATTAAGTCCTACGCCTACTAACTAGATTAATGAAAGAAGAGTATTTATTACATTATCAGCCTTAATTACATGTACATATTAAAGCTTTGCATTTATTCTGTAAAGAAAAAAGAAAAGGAAGTAATTGTACATTATGCTTTATGACAGATCGAGCAAAGTGACAAATCAAACACTAGATAATGTCTAAATTTTTAAAAAAAAATTTAAATTCATTATCTACTGTAATTAAAAAATATTTTCACAATTATCAAATTAAATATTAAAAAAAACACAATGGCTGATAAAACTAGACATCATTATATTAAGTACTAACTTCAAAGCTTTCTGAAAATTACCACTTTCATAAGTTGATGCTGAAACAACAACACTGTGACGATTGGGGTAGGAAAAGCTATTTATTTTCAAGTATTTTAATTTATTCCAGACACTAAGTCAACGAATATTACAAATTTGAAACCCTCTGAAGCTTAACAGAGGAAACATACTAAAAAATAAACAATTCTTTAACACAATGTAGAATTATGTAGAAATAGCCACATAAGAGAAATCATCATAAATAATAATTCCATAAAATGAATTCTTGAATATCATAACTTATTTTATGTACAAAAAACTACTTTCTAATCACAATTCTTTTATCTAATTTAACACCTTTTTTTATAACTAAATTTGTAAAATTGTGATTGTTTAACAAACAGTAAAATTCTACATTTGATGAATGAAAAAAAAAAGATGAAATCGAATTAAAGTGCTGGAGAAATCTATTTATAGTCATAAAAACTCACACATGCACATCGCTAGAATACGCACAGGATAATATTTGTTTATACAAGTTTTAGTATCATAAAATTGAATGTTTCAATGGTCACATTAAACACACACAGTTTGAACTTTCTCGCATTGTTGTTCCAGTTTTATTTTCAAGAGCAGGCATTATAAACAATGAGGTAAGAAAAGGAAAAAAAAAGAATGATTTATTATTTTAGAATGAAAATATAATTAGGAGCTATCCAAAATAATTCTTATGATTAAAATTACAGTCAGTTACAAATTAAAAAATAAGAGAATTTCCTTTTGTTCATTGGAAAGACAAAGATTAAAATTAATGGATGTTATTCAACATGAATTTAAGTTTCATGTCATTTTATTTATGCAATTATCATTTTTGTAAGGATAAATTAATCTGGTGAAACTTTATCAAGAGAATGGGCGAAAAAGAGAATAAAAATTTAAAGATAAAATTCGATATTTGTAAGAAAATGATTGCATATAAATTTTTAAAAAAAACACTCATTTACAATAGAATAATCACTCAAAACTTTCAGTGCTAAAATTGCCCCAAAAATTATAAAAAATGTTTACTTATTTTCAAATGCCCTTAACATCTTCAAGAAATGGAACAATAACTAAATGATTTGAACGATCCGCCAATGTAAAATGGAAACTAAAGTTACCAGACGATATTTTTATTTCTTCACATCAGATTGTTTTTTCATAAGAATAAAAAACGAAATGAAGTTTCAATGATGATATCAATTAATTTCGTATTAATAAGTAATATTTTGTTCAATAACGTGCTTTAATTTAAATCAAAATATTAAACTTAATTTCAAACGTATTTGAATTTGTATAATTTAGTTCTGAGAGTTGCTCATTTTTCGGGCAAAAATAGACAACTGAGAGCTTTTTAAACTAAAAACGTTTTTAAAATATAAATAAACAAAAGTTTACTCTTCGCACTTCAAATTGAAAAAAAAGCACTTCTTGAATTTTATTAATAATTTTTTATTTTCCCCGCATTAAACTAAAGTATAAACAAAATAAATATGTTTATACCATTTTTGTAATATATAGTTCAGATAAAATTATTATTAATTGCAATCTTGCGGAAAATGCTGACTGTTTCGAAATTTCTCTGCTTTAAAATCATGTTTATGCAAAGCAGTAAATCACGTTACTTTTATAATAAATTATTTTTTTCTCGGAAATTTTGCATAAAGCATTCACAGAAACAGGATATTTTAGATACCCATTCTCATTCATTTGGATTTCAGGCTGTATCACCCAAAGAGAAGCGAGAAAAAGGTTTGAGAAATAAAAAAATATGAAAATTCACTTTGAAAATCTTTTGCATCTCTAAGTTTATCTTTTCTCCATTTTTTTGCTGTTCAATTTATTTTCTGTAGCCTTTATTTAAAGCAAAATTATGTTACAAAAGTCGAATGAATATCACAACTTAAATGTGATAACTGATTAAGTGCTTTTCGGTTTATTAGGTGTAAGTAAATTAAATTATTTTCTCCATTTGAAGTCCATTTTGTTTCGTGTCTAAAAAAAAAAATAGTTGGAATTACTTGAACCCGACAAGTCCGAAAGTATCACTAATTCTAATTGTATATATAATAAATCTTCTTCTACTAATCATTTTGAAATTTTTCTTCGAAAGAAGTATTTCCACAAAAGAACCTATTTGTACCAACTGAAATTGTCTAATTTTTGTATTTAAAACATAAAATCAAAGCTACAACTAGGCAAATGCACACGAGAAACAAAAACAAACACCTCACAGAATTGAGTAAACTTATAGCCATCATTTATAAATTTTAATTTATCCCAAGTGCTAAAATGGGCAGTGTCAGTTGCTGGGAACAGATACTAATGTGGAAATAACAGTTGTATAAAATGTTTAACATTCCAAAATGTTTAATCTTATCAATATAAGTATCTGATATATATAACTCTTGCGTTATAAAACTGGGGTGCAAAGCTTGCTACAGAATTAGTATACACTTTATAAATCACTGAGTTTGATTGGCACGCCATATTTTTAAACCTTTGAGGCAGAGTTTTTATTAAACATATTTTTCATTATTTAGCATAGTTTAAGTAAAGTAAAAAATATTAAATTTAGCATTTTAATTATTCATGTTTATGAAATACAGCCTTAAACACCAGTGTCTTTTTCTGCGTTACCTATTTTGGACTCTTCAGTTATCTTTATCATCTAAATCAATAAGTTTGCAAGATTAAATTCTTTATTTTTAACTGTTTCATTACCATTGTAGCAAAAATGTTTTAATTGAGTGAAAGTTATTTATTATTTTTGGTAAGCAACTACTATTTTAAAGTTAGAATATTTTATTTATTTATTTTGTATATAATTCCAGAAATTTTATTTTACCTGTATTTGTTTTTAAGAATTTTATTTCATTTTTATGACAGTTCAGAATACTTTTTCGAGTGTTGCTGAAAAGTATGACCTAATGAATGATGTCATGAGTGTCGGTATACATAGGCTGTGGAAGGACTATTTTATTCGGACTTTGTCTCCTGTTGAAGGCACCAAACTTTTAGATGTTGCTGGGGGAACAGGTAAAAATTTTTAAAGTTATTTACCTATTAGATTACTGTTATTTAATTGAAGACATTATCGATATTTTTTTCTGTCTTAAATGTTCTTTATGGCTCCTTGTTAATCACTCTCAAACTTTTAAGTGTAAAAGAAAGATACATAAATACGCATTTAGTTTTTAGGTAATCCTCAAAAAAATCTACAGGAGAACCTAGCAAATTATTTCAAATTATATGTGACTTGTGGGGAGGGCAGTGTCCCTAGCAACAATTTTATCTTGACTCCGGTTTGGCCAAAATGTGGGTTCTATATGAACATGCACTGAGGGACCAATATTGGTCTTATAAAGGGCCAATATCGGCCTTTATGGGGCCAATATAGAGCCTATATTGGCTGAAAAATGAATATTAAATATCGGGTGAATCTGACAATTCTATATTTGGCCAATATAGAGCTTATATTGGTTGAAAAATGGATATTAAATATCGAGTAAATCTGACATTTTTATATAGGGCTTATATATTGGTTGTAAAGGGGCTGCAAAATATCGAGTGAATCTGACAATACCGAAAAAATAATGGCCCTTTGAGCCAAGATTGGTAACTATTGATTCAATAAGGGCCCAAGTTATTTTGCTGCTAGGGGTTGCTCTGTTCTTCATTAAAGACTCACCACTTTGCATATGAAGCACAAACTTAAAATAAAAATGTGGGATTAAGCATTTAATTAAAGATAATTGCAAAAAAATCAATTAAAGAGCATTACTTTCTTAATATGTTAATTAGCTTGTTACGTCAGTAATTTTAAACCTCATGACTGTGCATGCACTTTTTTTTTCTCTTTCCAAAACCTGGTAAAAATTAGGTTTTTACTGGTAAAAACGTGGTAAATACTATTATAAAATGTTATGGAGTTCTAATTTAGATATCAACTGCTTCCTTTTAATTTTTATTTTATTATCGAGGTATTTAAGATAAATGACAAATTTTTCATTATACTCTTATACTCTTTATAAAGTGTTATAAAGTCTTGATTAGGAAACTATTTTTTTTTTTAATTTTTAATGACATTAGTTTTGAGTCTTTTTGATTTCAATCTAGGAAATGTTTTAAGAAACATTAATTATAAAACTCATTTTTCTGAAGAACTATTTTATCTGAGATTATGAAAAATGTGATAGCATAGTGTAAATGTGTTTTTTTTTTTAATTCTTCAAACATGTTTTGTATAAATCTTAAAATGTAACAATTTCAAAGTTGTTTTCTTGAAACTGGTTTTTACAGTAAGTTGTCTTAGATCCACTTAAACTCAAAATTGTATGCGAAAAATAAAAAACCATTTTTATTTGAAAAATTAGTTTTGAAAAGATTAATATTATAACTAACAACTTGATAATGTTTCTCTTATGCAAAACAGGAAGATAACATTTAAAAACGGTCAACAAATGTTTTTTGCAGAATGTATTCTGTCTTCATATATTTTAAGTGTTTTCTTAAAATTAAAAGGAGAATATTGTTTATCCAGACACAATAGAGGTGAGCTTAGACTTGCTTTTAGAGGTCTTGCCTGAATTCGAATATAAAAAAAGGTTGTTTTTTTAAGCCTGTCTTATCCCACAATTTAAAGGCCTCTATTTTTAAAAGTTATGGAACCAAAAATGCATGGAAATATAAGATAAGTTAAAACTATTGATTTTAAATCCATGACATTTGATACTATTATATNTTTTTTTTTTTTTTTTAATTCTTCAAACATGTTTCTTATAAATCTTAAAATGTAACTATTTCAAAGTTGTTTTCTTGAAATTAGTTTTTACAGTAAGTTGTCTTAGATCCACTTAAACTCAAAATCGTATGCGAAAAATAAAAAATAAAAACATTTTTATTTGAAAAATTAGTTTTGAAAAGATCAATATTATAACTAACAACTTGATAATGTTTCTCTTATGCAAAACAGGAAGATAACATTTCAAAATGGTCAAAAAAAATTTTTTACAAAATGTAGTCTGTCCTCATATATTTTAAGTGTTTTCTTAAAATTAAAAGGAAAATATTATTTATCCAGACACAGTGGAGGTGAGCTTAGACTTGCCTTTAGAGGTCTGAGCTTGCCTGAATTCGAATATAAAAAAAAGGTTGTTTAAAGAAAGGAAAGAAAAAAAAGGAAAAAAGAAAGGAAAAAAAAGGTTGTTGATAAAAAAAAAGGTTTTTAAGCCCATCTGAGCCCACAATTTAAAGGCCTCGATTCTTAAAAGTTATGGCACCGAAAATGCATGGAAATATAAGATAAGTTTAAACTATTGATTTTAAGTCCATGACATTTGATACTATTAAATTGCTTAAACATAATAATTAAACCATATAATTGTTTCATGACCCTGAGCCTAAATTCTTCAAGTCTGTATTAAGCTTCGGCTCAGACTAAGCTGATCTCTAATAAACAGTGCAGTTTTTTATATCATTGTACACTTTATTATGAAATAGTTTTTTGGCTTAATTAAGATTCTTATTCATTGCACCAACGAAAATTGTAAAAGTTTTTCTTCTTCACCTCCACCTTTATGTTAATGATGCTTGAAAGTTTCATTACTTTGATTTATATCTCATGCATGGTGCAGGGCATTTTTGAAAAGTGCTTAAATGTGCTTATTTTCATTTTTTAGCCTTTAAATGTGCTTTTTTCATGGGGTGTTTTTAAAAAGTGCTTAATTTTCCCTTTTTGAAAATGAGATTCTTTTTCTTTACCATGTCAATTTTCGCCATGTGTTCTCAAAAGCATTCTTTTCACATTGTTCTATTCAGCGTTATTCACAATTCATTCAACCACAATCTATATCCGTGTACCGTCGGTCCATAGTGTATGAAAGCGCCCATCGTTTTACATGTTTGATGCAATACTTGCAAATCCGAGTGTGCGTCGACTGAGCTGGATTCGGTGAGATTACTGCACTCTCACGTTCAACTCTGCTGCATTTTGCGAGATGTTTTGCACTTCAGGCTTCATTTTCCACCCTCTGATATCGAACCAAAAAAATCTTTAAATCATTTTATAAAGGCTAATATAATCAAGAAAAGAGTTTTTTTGTCAGAAGCTAGTTATTTTAACATGATCATGTGAAGTCTTTGAAAATTATTTTGCATTTGGTTAATGTATATAGTGCTTAAAAATATTTTTTGACTGCTTAAAAAGTACTGTAAACGGGCTTGTTTTTTGTTGAAAGATTTGTCTATGCACCCTGTCATTCCAATTATAATACTACCATTATTTATTTTCTAATTATACTTAACTATTTCTAATTATACTTATTAATATGTTTGCTTTGTTTCAATTGAAAAGAAATACTTATTTGTCAGGTGATATTGCATTTCGATGTCTGAAGGCCTCTTCTGAAGGCAGTGATGCCACTCAAAGTCATGTGACTGTTTTGGATTTCAATGATAAAATGCTGTCCATATGCAAGAAAAGAGCAGAAGAATCAGGTTTAGAGAATCGTGAGTACCTCTCCTGTTATTAATATGATCTCAGAGCTATTATTGCAAATTTATCTGTAAGGCTTCTATCATTTTTAATAATAAAAAATTTTGTATTTTCATTTGTCCTAGAGATTTGTTGAAAGTTAGAAGCATTATTATTATAATAGTTAGAAGTATTAGGTTGACAAAAAAGTAATTTTGGCTTTTTAGTTTGTAATAAAAGTTAATTTTTAATTAACTATAATCATCTGAATATTTTCTATTTTTATCGATGTCTTTTTGCGATCTTTCGGGGAACTTCAGGAATCCTTACTGATAGATTTTGTCAATGTATAAATTGCAGGGTTGCCGCAGGCGACTAAAATACCACTATTTGCAACTATTTTTGGTATGAGACGACTTTGGCAACTTTTTTCTAAATCAATCTGAAAAAGCCAAAAAATCAACTATTTTTATAAAAAGAGACTATTGGGAAACTTTTCTGTACTCCTAGCAATGATTTTTAGCATAAATTGGGTTGAAAACCTTTCGGCCTGCCGAAGCTTCTGAACACACTGAATTTTTTTTCTTTAAAAACTTAAAATTTTTGAATTGCAAATTTGAATCATAATTTTTTAATTATTTCAATTTGCACAGCAATTTTGCCATTGTAAGTCTATTTCGTTTCTTGATCGCCTTTGCAATGGTAATTGCTATGAAATTCCGCATGATTTTAAAAAACTCAAGTTTCAATATATTACAATGCATGAATTTCAAATTTGAGCAATCATTTTTCACCATATATATGTAAATGATATAAATATTTTACTGAATTGACACTGACTTATGTTGTCTGAAACTGAAGTAAAAAATTTCAAATTAATTATAAATCATATTTTACAAATTAAGAACTACAAAGAGTTTTTTTTTTTTAAATGTCAGCTTCTAAATGCAGTAAAGTTTACATTTAAATTACAAACAAATTCACAGAGTTTAAACGATTTGTAAGTGAGTAATCAATTTTTGCTTTCGTGGGATTTACATAATATGCCAACACTTTAATCCATTTAATTTGAACTTATTTTAATCAGTTTTTATAAAGCAAATTGTTTTCGATAGGTTATGATGTACTAAATATTTAATATAAAAATTTGATGATTATAAGCTTATGTTTTATAAGATAGTTTTTATAAGAAATTTCTGTTCATTTTTTACATCCGACACCATTTAATTGCCCAGTTGTAAAAACAAAAACAATTAACTAATCTAAACTAAGAAACCATGTAGTTAGATTGGAATTCTTTAAATATTCTAATTTTTAATGAGAAAATTAAAGCAAACCAAAAAATAATAAAATGTAAAGCATTTTGTCTAATTTTTTTTTTCTTCTATAGAGTATGCAACAAGTAATTTTAAAATTTTGCTATTGCGAATACTGAATGTCTCTTAAAATAATAGTGCTAATACAAAACAAGCAACATTCTTTAAACATTTGAATAGATACTGGTTTAAGGAAAATTATATCAATCAATTTTATAAAGAGCACTGTTTGGATATAACACAGAATAAAATAGCTCTATATTAAAATATAAATAAATGTAGAAATTTATTGATGTATAATCACCTGGAATTATTTTCTTTTGCTCAATGAAAATATATTTAACAGTTCTTATCCAAGGTTTTTTTTCAGTCAGTCCGATTTTTTTTTTTTTTTTTTTTTGCTACATTTTGTGCAAAAACTACTTGAAACTTTAAAATATTCTTTATTCATTAAAAGCACAATATTCTACAAGCTAAACATGTTGTTTTCTCCACATATATTCAAGATGATATGTTAAATAAATAACATTTTAAATAAAATACTTAATCATATTGACACTTTTCTTGTACCCACCTACACTTTATGAGAATGGAAATTTCGGGATTTTTGCTAGAAAACCTGGAAAAATCAGGAAAATTTGAAACGGGATTTGAGGGGATACCCTGTAGAGCTGGCAACACATTTATTAAACATAAAGTATGATACAATGAAAGTGCATTACAACCTGCGTAAACTGTATTTATATATATCATATCAAACAAACATATTTCTCAGTTTTATTGAAGTAAAGAATAGTCTTCAAAATAAACATCATCAATGTTAATCCAGTGAATGCTTATGCAATCCCACAATTCTTGGTTCTTGACATGTATGTTGAAACTATTCTATAGTTAAGTTTATGTTTTTCCACTAAAATATATTGTAATTTTTTTTAGATGATTTTTCTCTTTAGTATTTTAATGCTTCAAAATTGTATTATAAAATTTATTTGAAAATCACATTTTTCATAAAATATTTTCCAAAACTCATACTTGCCAAGTTTCCTGTTTTTTAATGAAGACTCCTATATTTTATGACTATCTCCTTTTTAACCGTATATTCTCAAATTTCTCCATATTTGTTGAAGAAACTTTTAAAAAATAAAATTTTGCCAATAAATTATCCGCTGATGGCAAAAATACTTCCCTTATTCCTCAACAGATAGAGCTATTGCCAGTACTGCAGTATGTTGAGTGTTAATAGTTTAAGTAGAGCCATGATGGCTGTAGGGATAGAGCGTTCTCCTACCAATGAGGTGAACCAGGTTCACATCCCAGCGATGGCTGGTCGATATGAATTCTGCATCCGACTTGCACTGACCACAGTGCTGATGTAAAATATCCTCAGTGGTAGAGGGATCATGGGTTAGAGCTCCCTTGCTGTCAGGCTAACCGTGGGAGGTTGTCATGGTCTTCCTCTCCATGTAATGCAAATGCATGTTAGTTCAATCAAAAAGTCCTACACAAAGGCAAATTTCTCCCAATATTTGATCCAGGAGTTCTATTGTCTTCTGGATTGGATTTAAAATTACAAGGCTACGTAGCTGAACATTAGTAGTTTGCAAATCAAAAAAATTGGGTCAACTGTTCAACGACGGTTATAAAATTAAATAGTTTAAGTACTTATAAATAATGATTTTAAAAAATCTTAGTTAGATTAAGATTATATACCTATTTTTTACTTCGCTAAATNATAACATCATAGTTAAATAACGGGATCGTCAAAATCACGAGGAAAAGTATAGAAATAATTAGGAAAAAATATATTTATGCTGAACTCAGCACGAATAAAGCGTGTCAAATGCATGATTTAAAATTTGCATGTCGTAATAGAATAATTGGAATATTTTATAATACGTGGGAACGCATAGCAATAACTGCCGAAAAAAATTTCGAAAAAAAAAAAGGAATTGCAAAAAAAAGATAAAAAATCACTTAGATTTAAGATGAAATCGTCAGAAATAAAGTGCACAAAAAGTGATTATTTAAATATGTGATCTGAAACTCGCGTCGTAATAAAAATTCGGGATTTTCGAAATCACGTAGAAAAGCGGAAATAACTGTATAAAAAAATTCATTCATATTTACGATAAAATCAGCTTAAAGAAAGCGTGTTAAACGTACATTTACTAAAGAATCTGTTAAAATTGATAGTGTCAAAACGTGATGACTTAAAATTGCGATTAAAAATTGTCATTTTTTAAAAAAATTTTATTGTGTTTAGAAGCTCTCGCGGGCTGCACTTCAGTAGTCGAAGGGCCGCATTTGGCCCACAGGTTGCAGGTTGTGCACCCCTAATGTACTAAATATTTAATATAAAAATTTGATGATTATAAGTTTATGTTTTATAAGATAGTTTTTATAAGAAATTTATGTTCATTTTTTACATCCGACACCATTTAATTGCCCAGTTATTAAAACAAAAACAATTAACTAATCTAAACTAAGAAACCATGTTGTTAGATTGGAATTCTTTAAATATTCTAATTTTTAATAAGAAAATTAAAGCAAACCACAAAAATAGTAAAATGTGAAGCATTTTGTCTAGTTTTTTTTTTCTTTCTATAGAGTATGCAACAAGTAATTTTATAATTTTGCCTTTGCGAAATACTGAGTGTCTCTTAAAATAATAGTGCTAATACAAAACAAACAACATTCTTTAAACATTTGAGTAGATACTGGTTTAAAGAAAATTATATCAATGAATTGTATAAAGAGCACTGTTAGGATATAACATGGTATAAAATAGCTCTATATTGAAATATAAATAAATCTAAACATTTATTGATGTATAATCACCTGGAATTATTTTCTTTTGCTTAATGAAAATACATTAAACAGTACTTATCCAAGGTTTATTTTAGTCACGCTGTTTTTTTTTACTTCATTTTGTGCAACAACTACTTGAAACTTTAAAATATTTTTTATTCATTAAAAGCACTATATTCTACAAGCTAAACATATTATTTTCTCCACATATATTCAAGATGATATGTTAAATAAATAACATTTTAAATAGAATACTTAATCATATTGACACTTTTCTTGTACCCACCTACACTTTATGAGAATGGAAATTTCGGGATTTTTGCTAGAAAACCTGGAAAAATCAGGGAAATTTGAAATATGAGTTGAGGGGCCACCCTGTAGAACTGACAATATGTTTATTAAACATAAAGTATGATACAATGAAAGCGTATTACAACCTGCGTAAAATTGTATTTATATATATCATATCAAACAAACATATTTCTCAGTTTTATTGAACTAAAGAACAGTCTTCAAAATAAACGTCACCAATGTTAATCAGTGATTGCTTATTCAATCCCAGAATTCTTGGTTCTTGACAGTGTAAATGTATGTTGAAACTATTCTATAGTTAAGTTTATGTTTTTCCACTAAAATATATATATTTTTTTTTTAGATGATTTTTCTCTTTAGTATTTTAATGCTTCAAAATTTTATTATAAAATTTATTTGAAAATCACATTTTTCATAAAATATTTTCCAAAACTTCAGTGTAATTTTTATTAAAAAATAAATTGTGTATAATTAAATAATAGTGATTGATTTTAAATTTTAGTGCCTTTAAATGAATTTTTCAATCTCTCTCTGCACAAGACAATATGATTAAGTGTTTTATAAACTTATGTTTGGTGCAACATAACTACATACTCGGCTCTTTTGCAAACTCATACTTGCCAAGTTACCTGCTTTTTAACGAAGACTCCTATATTTTACGACTATCTCCTTTTTGACCGTATATTCTCAAATTTCTCCATATTTGTTGAAGAAATTTTTAAAAAATAAAATTTTGCCAATAAAATATCCTCTGATGGCAAAAATAATTCTCTTATTCCTCAACAGATAGTGCTATTGCCAGTACTGCAGTATATTGAGTGTTAATAGTTTAAGTAGAGTTAATAGTTAAGTGGCTGTAGGGATAGAGCGTTCGCCTACAAATGAGGTGAACTGGGTTCACATCCCAGCGATGGCTGGTCGATATGAATTCTGCATCCGATTTGCACTGACCACAGTGCTGATGTAAAATATCCTCAGTGGCCGACGGATCATGGGTTAGAGTTCCCTTGCTGTCAGGCTAACCGTGGGAGGTTGTCATGGTCTTCCTCTCCATGTAATGCTAATACGTGTTAGTTCAATAAAAAAATCCTTCATGGAGGCGAATTTCTCCCAATATTTGATCCAGGAGTTCTATTTTTTTCTGGATTGGGTTTTAAATTACAAGGCTACGTAGCTGAACATTAGTAGTTGTAAGCCCAAAAAATTGGGTCACCTGTTCAACGATGGTTATAAAATAAAATAGTTTAAGTACTTATAAATAATGGTTTTAAAAACTCTTATTTAAATTAAGATTATATACCTATTTTTTACTTCGCTAAATGTTAGTCCTTATATTATTTCCAATATTGAATTGTTCTTTTTGACATACATGATTATGCATGATGTATGAAAACTTTGCATGTAGCCTAAGAAATGTTGCTAGTAAAATCTCTGCAAATTTATTTCTCCAATGTTGGCAGGTATGCAAACTAATTAATATCCCAATGCATAGCTAACTGGAAAAGTTTCCTATTGAATCTCTAATTATGTTTAAATGATGACAAGCTCAATCATGCTTCGAAAAATGATTAATTTATTTTCTATGTAAATACCTAAACCTAAATTTTTTGATTCTTAACAGTAGTTAAAAAAATTTATAGTAATTTTATCATTCATCATCATCATAGTTGGCCAGACAACCCAATGTGGGCCAATGCCTTCCTCTGAAGATTTCTCCATAATGACTGCTGATTTATCTTTGATCTCCAATTCTTTTCATTAATTGCAAGAAAATCAGACTCCACCAAGTCAGCCCATTTCAACCGCGGCCTTTCCCTCTTTCTTGCTCCAGTGGGTCTAAAAAGTAATATTTGTTTTATTGTATTGTCATGACTCATTCAAATCACGTGGGCCATCCAATTTTTTCTATTTATTTTTATATATTTAATAATATCAGTTTGTCTCTAAATCTTGTACAGTTCAAAGTTAAATCTCCTTCTCCAATTATTGTTTTCATTTTCCTCCAGTTTCGTCATTGTCCGAACTTCAGAAGCATATGTCAAGACTGGCCTGACAAGAATTTTGCAGATTAAGAACTTTGTAGATTAAGAACTTTGTTTTTCTAGAAAGGATCCTATATTTAAATTTTATCATCAGAAATTGTTAATTTTATTTAATAACTTTAAATTAATATCTTTTTATTAACTTTAATTAATTAAATTATTCCTAGTCATCATAGCATTCATTGATTTCAATAAATATCAGTTGTTTAATTTTTACTTCTAGATATTTTATTTATATTTCTCTGTGCATTTTATTTTATATTTGTTTCTTATTTTTTAGAACTGACATGCGTTCAAGGAAATGCTGAAATGTTGCCTTTTCCAGATCAGTCTTTTGATGCTTACACCATTGCATTTGGAATTCGAAATGTTGTTCACATTGATAAGGTAACAGAAAAAAAGTGATAAATAATGTGAAAAGGGAAATTTTTTTTATTTCGTAAAATGTTGCATCAATCAACAGAAGCCAAATTAAATTTATCTTTTCCTTTTTTTTTCTTTTTAGGCTTTATCAGAGGCGCATCGAGTTCTACTACCTGGCGGTCGTTTCCTATGTTTAGAATTTAGTGAAGTTCAATATCCCTTAAACAGGTTTAAATATTTGACTGCTTTTTGTTTTCTATCCCAACGGTTCACAACCTTTTTAGTTTTGCGAATTGCCAGTTTTATGAAAAAAACTATGAGAGAGTCACTAACAACTACAGGGTGCATAGCGTTTCTAAAGAGTACTTATTTTTGATTTACTTTTTTTAAAAGACCTTAAAGGTGCTTTTTTTTATTCAGGGTTTGTAAAAAATGCTTAATTTTCTATCTTTTAAAAAGAGATTTTTTTTTTGCCTTTCTGATTGTCGTTCTAAATTACAAAAATTGGATGATTTTCACAGTTTTCTCTGCAATATTTAACAGAAATTAGTTATTTTATAATAACTATGTAAAGTTTTTGAATTTCATTGATTTTATGCTTATAAATTTAGAACTTTAAAGGATAGAGAAAAAATACTTTTTATTGCTGCACAGAGCTTAATTATGATTTTTTTTAAGTGATTAAAATATTTTTTGAGTACTTAAAAAGTGTTTATTTTTTGTTGAAAAATCTGGCTACGCACCCTGAATTAAATTATAAATGCAAGTAAAAATAAATGACAAATAGAAATATATGTGTGATGAATATATGTGCATGTGTGTATATATATATCCCATATCCGGACATACATTAGGCAGAAGGGTCTCTTTTTCCAGACACTTTTTAACCATCAAAATAAATAGAGCCGCGATGGCTCAGGGAATAGAGCGTTCACCTTTCAATGAGGTGAACCCGGCTCAAATCCCAACGATAGCTGGTCGATACGAATGCCGAATCTGACTTGCACCGACCACAGTTCTGACGTAAAATATCCTCTAAGGTAGACAGATCATGGGTTAGAGTCCCCTTGCCGTCAGGCTAACCAAGGGAGGTTTCCGTGGTTTTATTCTTTCTGTAATGAAACTGCGGGTTAGTTCTAGCAAGAAGTCCACCACGAAGACAAACTTCTCCCAATACTTGATTCATGAGTTCCCTTGTCTGCTGGATTGGGTTCAAAACAACAAGGCTATGAAGTTGAACATTGGAAGTCGTAAACCCAAGCAACTGGGTCGGCTGTTCAACGACGGTTATAAAAAAATATATAAAACATATTTCGTTATGGCCGAGGGACAAATCTGTTGCAACTTTTCACCTCCTTACTGGCCACAATTGTCTTTCTAAACATTTATATCCTATAAAAATTCTTTCATGTCCTCTCTGCCAATTGTGCCAGTGTCACAAAATATTTTGTTTTACATTGAAATTTTCTTATACTGTAACTACCAATAAATTTTAGTTTTAAAGCCCTCTAGCGCTAAATAGAAACTCTTTAATACTCTCTGATATGTTGAACTTTATTGTTGTTTGAAACTCAATATTATTTTTTTTCTGTCCTAAGTGTCTACAAGTGGTACTCTGATGAAATAATACCAGTATTGGGGCAAGTTATAGCTGGAGAATGGAAATCCTATCAGTACCTTGTTGAAAGTATTCAGAAATTTCCTAAACAGGTATATTTTCTTTATTAATCTGTACAAGTGTTTTTGTTTTGTTTTTTATTGTAAAATCAAGATTTGGGTTATTCTAAATACAGATCTGTGCACCTGGAAAGTCATAAATTTCAGTATTTAACAAAATTTGTCATGATTTGAACGTTTATTTTTAAAAAAAATCTTTGAAAATCATGGATTTAGGTCGCCAAAAAATATGATTTTTGAAATGGAGTCCCCCCCCAATTTCATGCTGTTCCAATTATCTGAATTTCTAACAAAATCCCCTCTCACAGTCATATTTTATTGAGGTATATAATGTTTTTATAACTTTCTTTAAAAATTATTTTGTTCTTTAAAATAAAAAAATAATAACATCATTTCTAGAGTAAATTCTCTTTTAAATTTCTGTGATTTCAGAATTTTTTTATTATTTATTATTTTTATTTCATCAATTTAAAATTCTAGCTGAAGCAAATCAGTCATTGGAGAATTTTTTAAATTCCAAAATGAGTACAGAAAAATCCGGACTATTTCTTCTCTTTCTGATGAACAAGAAAAGTATCTTTAGAATATAATTCTGCAGGGAAAAAAAATTTTCTTTTGTATTTTTTCACCTATTTTATAGCTTCAACTCTTTCTTTAGTCAGTTTTTTAAATTTAAAATCAATAAATGTGAAGATGCAGAGTATAACAGTTTTGATTATACCTATCATTTCAATTGTAATGCTTTTTTAAATTTATTGTTATGTTTTTGTTGGAGAAAATAGTAACTTTGTTAAGTCATGAAAAATTCTTGGAATTAGTCCGAAAAAGTCGTGGATTTGAATATCTAAAATGTAGCAGATACCCTGTAAATATAAATCAGAACAAAGCAGCTCATTAAAAGTTGTTTTTTTGGTTTAGAGGGAAAAAATATATTATTCTAAATAGTGTACATTGTTATAACTATGAATTTCCATTCTTCCTCTTCATATTTTCTTCAAGTTATGGTGAAATATTTATTTTTTTGAAATAAATTATGGTTGTTGTTTTAATAATATGGATCTAAAAGCCTTTAAAAATATATATTTATAAATTTTGGCTTCATTTCAAAATGTTATTTACCGTATGTTATGATACCATATTCTATGATAGCGTATGTATGAAATGTTATTTGATGTTTCAACTGAAAACTCAAAGGGTTAATAAAAATTGTGTTTAAATCAACCATAAGAACCTCATAAAGTAGGAAAAGGGTATCAATTAATTTATTTTTTAAAACAAATTGCTGTATGTTTTGGAGTAACAGTGATCTTTGTAAAATGAACACATAAATGAATTTTTTTTAAATTTATGTGTAAAATTGGTTCTTTAGTCTGTTTATCAGACATTTCAAAGTAAGAAAAAGGTATGAAAAAGGAATTAATGATTAACTACAAAATAGCTGATTTGGAGACAAGTTTTTTTGGGGGGGAGGGAATACTGCTTTCACTAATTGATTAGCCTATTTAAGTTGCATGACTCTAAGCTTAAAGAACATAAAAATCTGACCATTAAACTTATTTTGTGCCTTGTACGAAAGGAATAAATAGTTGCTTGTCTTTACAGGAAGAGTTTCTTTCTATGATAAAAGAAGCTGGACTGAGTTGTGCAACGTATGAAAATCTAACGGGTGGCATTGTAGCCATTCATTCGGCTTACAAGCTTTGAGTATTTTATTTATGAAAATGCAAATAATGATTCAATTGTATATAGAGTGGATTAAAATAAATGTTGCACTAATTTATGATGTTAGAAAGGAATTATAACCTATTTGTTAAATATGAGCTGTTATTTTATAAAGTGGAATGTGCCTGGTTTTTTTTTGGTTTTTTTCTTCGTACATATGTATACAGTTGAATCTGTTTATTTCGAACCTCTTTATCTCGAAATTTCTAAAACTTCTTACATTTACTGTTTAAAATCAATGTATTTTCCATATTTATGTCAAAAAAATTTTAAAAACTCTGTTTCTCGAATTTCTAATAATAGAGCACAAACGTCAAAACTTTCTTCATCTGTAGAACTCGTAGACAGAGATGAATTTCGTGAATCCACAGGAAGTAGGGATGAACAGGTTGGGGGTGTTTCTTGGAATTTCAATCGCTATCCCTGCACTTCCTTAACTGGAAAGGAATACAGTGATTCTGGCAGTAAGGGAGGGGTTAATGAGTAGTGACCATCAGGGGTCAGCTTTTCAACGTAGATAAGGAAGCTAAGAATAGAAATTCATTTTGACCTCAAAATTGCAACCAATCGATCAAAGAATAATTAAGAGTTTTAAAGTGAACTATAAAAACTATAGTTGGTGCACAAACTTGTAGATGCCATTGATGAAAAAAATTAGACGCTATCAGAATTACTGTTTTGCCTGGAGAAATGTATCTCTAAAAACTATCCAAAATGGTTTTAAAAAACTGATTTTTAGAATAGCTGTGAAGATGATAAATAAGAGGTTGAAGGCATCAGTAAAGAAGAAGAAAATGTTAACACAGAAAATGCAGTGCCAGATTTGCCAGAATGGAATTCAATAAAATCTGGATTTAATGTTGACCTTAATTTTGAAGATTTTTACAAGTGGACAACTGCCTGGCAACGTGTGGAACATAGGCAGATGCTGAAATCATAAATAATGTCAAAGGAATGAAGATGAAGAAGCTGGAGATCATATTGATGAATCAAAAGTGAATGTAAAAGAAGTAGAAAAAGCTGTAGAATTTTTATAAACTGCTCTTGAATCCCAGGAAAATGTTGGTTATGAGGAATTTGCGATCTTCCCAACCTCAAAAGAATAATCGAAACAAATAAGGTCATACATCAAAAATCTTGGGAAAATTATTTCAGTGTTAAATGTATGTTAAGAAACTGTTATGTAAATAGATGTATGTGGTATAATTTATGTAAAGAAATGTCTATATTTTTCTACTAAAAACAATTGAAGCACTTTTAATAGAATTTCTTAATTAAATTAAATTTTTTAAAGTACCTGTATAACTCGAAACCTCTTTATCTCGAATTTTTCGCCTTTCCCGTGAGATTTGAGATTAACAGGTTCGACTGCATATATATATATACAGTATAATAAATAAATACAATAAATTTAGTAACAGCTTGTGAGATAAAAAAAAATTTCCTCAATGCTTTCTTTTATTCCCCATCCCTAGTCAGTGGGCGATTAATATGGAACGTTTTATTTGTCACATTCTTCCTAGTGAGCAAAAACAAAGTTGTATCGTCTATTGTTATCGGCAGTAATTTTGGCATATATATATATATAATATATGTATATATTTTATATATATATGCCAGTGATTTACAAAAACTACAAATTTGTATTTGTTTCTATTGACGCATCTGACATTACTGTCTAAACAAATAATGCATTGTTTCCTATGTAGTTTTTTACAGTGAATCGAATTAGACTATTCAAGAGTAAATAGATTGAATAGTTTTAAAATGCTTTATGTATAAAAAATATTTCTATTAACATGCACTTATGTAAACTTTTTGCATTGCTGTCTATAGACTATCGGAACATGTAAGGAACCCATGTAATTTTTCATGCTTCTATTGAATGAAATAAAATTCAAGTCGGGATATAGTCAATATAGCTTTGGAATTATAAGAAATTTTTTCATAATAAGTACTATTAGTACTTTTCATGTGAAAATAGAAAAAAACTATTGCAACTTTTGAAATAATAGTCCTTTTTTTTTCACTCTATGAAGTGGGAAAAAATCTATGGGAAACAGTACTTATCTGTTGAATAATATGAAATGCATATATAAGAACAAGGTAGTTACTTTTGGTACACATAACTCTTTTAACTTCTTAATTATTTATGTTATCAATTCTTATTTCAATCTAATCAATTCTGCATAATAAATTAAATCAAAAAATACATCTTACAAGTTCAGATAGTTATTACATAACTTTTGAACTAGTGATCGGATCTTCAGGTTCTGGGACTCTATCTTAGAGGTTCAAGGGGCTGACCTTAAGTATTCTTAGTGAAGATGATGTTTTAAGTAACGGTATCAAACACAAAAACTTACTTTCTCTGAATAAACATTCCTTTTTTCGACTGGTCTTGGAAATATGGTCCCAATAGTTTCGTCAGGAGAGAAGTCCAAAGTTTGAACTCCTTAATGCTAATTTTAATTTTTGCTTATTTGACCATATCTCGAGCACTTTTTCAGTGAATTCAAAACTTTTGCACAGAATTATAAAATTTGTTAAACAGAAAGAAAATTTTTTAGTACGTATTTGTTATTTTCTTTAATTATAGTCGAAAAACTTTCGAATTGTAAGGTATAAAATTTTTAACGCTTTAAAGAATGCTTTTTTAAATGGCAAAATCGGTCGAATTGTTTCTGACAAATCGAATTTTTGATCATGATTAAAATCATGTCGTATTTTTGAAATTCGATTTCTCAAGAACTATTCGACTGATTTTGCTCAAGTTTTTTGTTTTTCCATGTTTTATTTTGCCCAACACTACTTTGGTGATCCGAATCCCTCAAAAAAAGCTATGTTTATACAAAGAAGATACGTTTTTGATTCTGATTTTGTAAATAAAAATATTGTTTGCATATTTGAGGTCACCCCCTCAAGCCATTAAGATTGAGCCCTAAAACGTGAAAATTTGATCATTAGATAAAAAGTTAGTCAGGTGGACCGTTTTTTTTTATTTTGCACACTGCACATATCTCATGTCAGGAGTACTTTTTTATGCGAAAAAAACCCTTTTAAATTTTCAACTATTCATTCTATTGACTTATACATAGTTTCAATGTGAAAAATAAAATAGGAAGCAATGCCTCACTTGTTTAGATAGCAATGTCAGTTGCGTAATTTGTACTTTATCAAAATAAAAACTTCTAAAGTATTCATCAGAATGTCTCAAGATTGGTTTCATTCAATTCTGTGTGAAACGGAGACAATGCCTCAAGTAAAATTAAAACTAAGAAGCATGAGTTCTTTTCTACATATTTTTGTAGCTACTCTTTATAATTTGAGGAACATATATCCCAGATAGCAAAGTAAGGTTTATTTTCACTCAACAAAAACCTTTTAATGTTAACCTAAAAAGGTTTGTAATAAGATTTACGTGTAAACCTTTTAACCTTAAACGAGATCTGTGACAATCTGCTCTATTCTACGCACATTACCCTAATCCAAAACCTTGGAAAATAACCTTCTATATAAAAACCTTAAATCGAGGTTGACTTATGGTTTTCAAGCGTGAAAAAATCCTTTAATGAAGCGATTCTGAAGGTGAAAATAATCTTAAATCTAGGTCATTATAAGGTTTCTTTTCGCAAAGTTTTGAATGCTCAGCTTAAATCCACCTTGTCATGAAATTTTAATGGACAATGCAATTTGATCCTATCTCTAGTGTGACGTCAGCTAAAACGTCATTATGGACCTAAGTGACAATACTTTTTTAAAAAAGCTTTAAAAAAAATCTTTTTTTAATCCTTCTAGGATGAAAGGTTTGAAACTGCAATATTTTTGCTTGATTATTTAATGATTGCAATACTTGATCATAATTTTAATTCAATATTATTGAAACTGCAATATGGTTTTTAGTACAAACATTTTCGCTACAATAAAATAAAATTCCGACCACAAGGTGGCCGTATGGTTACATGCTTTCTGGATATGAATCTGTCTTTTAAAAAAAAATATGTTTCACGATAGAAAGTATAATGAAAGTCATAACGAACCTCTTTTTCTTTTATAATGGATAACTATTTTGACTTAAAATACCTATCTAGAGTAGGCTGGGTTTTTTTTCCCCTCCACGGATTGAAATTTCTGAACAACAAGAAATCCCTAGCAGCAAAGTAACTTGGACTATGCTTATGCTAGAGTCAACGAAAGGTGCATTCTCTCCTAAGTGCACGGCAGGGCTTAGAACTTTTCTTGGAAAGAAGATAATTTACCCGCGTTACGCTTCATTAAAATAATGGAATAAAATTGTAAGCTTTTTTGTATTGATGCCAGCGATAAATAAGAATGTCTTTCATTTAAATCTTTTTCATATAATATTGCTCACTTAAACAGCACGAAAATGTACTTTCTCTGATAACAATTTTGTCATAATAGAAAAAAAAACTAGTAATTTTTAACTCGTTATAAGCATATAATCTTTAGTGTTAAGTTTTTATTTTTCTCCTAAGAGAACATTTTGCCAGATCTGACTTGAAACTGACATATTTCAGAAAGATTTCATTGAGAAAAAAAAATTTCTTGCATAAGTGACTCACTTATAATCCCCGTGGAAGAATCATGGTCGCAGAACGTTACAGAGTTCTTGCAGAAAGAATTTTCTTTTGAAAAGTAAAAAAAATTACTTTTTTTCCCGAAATTTACACGTAATATTCGAATCATGCATTCAAATAATCACTTTTTGGTGCAATTAACGCCGATAGTATCGTAAATCGATGTAATGTTTCGATTGTATTTTCGGCAGTTAATTGATATTGATTTTCACTCGGATTTTAAATATCCCGATGTATTTCAAACAGAAATATTTACTTTTTAAGGCAGTAATTCTATCAAAGTTTTGGCCTTTATTGCTATTGATTTCTCCTTAGTTTTTAAATCCGATATTTTTTATGCGATATTATTTATTACAACAATCTAATCTCGAACCGAAACACACATTTGAGGAGTCCGATTCGCGTGATTTCGTCGTCGCTTTTTCTTCTTTTCCGGCAATTACTACTACGGATTTCATGATTTTTAATTATTTTTTATTGAAATGATTATTTACAAACATCGAAGAAGGAAATAATTTGTTCGCTCCCCC